GTAACTCGATTACACTCATGGCAATTCGGACAACCAAACAACATTCGCAAAATCTTGCACGGAGGTGCGCTAGGCCGCCACCAATGCGTGCAGCCCGTAGATCTCCTTCCTCACAGTGTAGTACACTTCGCTCGCGGAACCCTCAAGCTCAACCTTCCCACGTCCTGTCTTCCGCACAGCGACCATATCCTCCATACCTAGAGCATTGTCCGCTCTACCGCTACCCTTTCTTTTGCCACACATAAGCACACCTTCGCCGACCAGCTCTGCCGCAATCCCAACGGACGTCAGTCGGGACTTAAGTGCCGTCAGTTTCAGCTCTCCGATCATTGTTGAGTGAGGCAAAGTAATGGGTGGGCGTGCTCCAAGCGTTCCACGACCAGCAGCTACCAATCTTTTGGCGGAATACGAGCGTGTAGGGGTAGCAATTGATGCCGGCTCAAGAGTAGGAATTGTAGACCCAGCGTGAATTGTGACCCGCCCTGTCACGTAGCCGACTTCATTATCCTCAAACTGTAACGCAAAACAAAAAAATCAGTCCTGTGAAGACTCATTCGATCATCTAGACACACCCTCGACAACTTGGTCGATGCCAACAGTTCCTCACTGAGGGAGATGGAGAAACTCTGCGTCTGCTGACCGATCTGTACCGTCTCGAATGCAGCTGGAGCAAATATGTCCTTAGTCATTACTCGGATGTTCCCGCAGGCGTCGATGAGTTCATCTGCAGAGTCCTCTCGAGCATGGACGATGATCTGTAGAGCGCAATGAGCAAAACAAGCGATGTGGTGACTGAACATAGCAGCCATACCATCTTGCGCGGGTTCACTTGGGGAACAATGGTTTTCACTGCGCGTCCATCGTTCAAACCTTCCAAATCAATAAAGAGGAGGCGGCAAGCGAGTTGCACTTCGATCTGAGTGGTGACGAACTTGGATGGAGGCTCCGGCGGGGCTTTCTGCAAAGGGGATCGAAGTTGAGTACAGCAAAGCCGAGGAAAGGTACACGTCTACCTTGGACGACTCCTCTGTTTGCTTCCTTTTGCCGTCCTCAGAAGCATCTTCCTCTTCGAAGACCTTGCTCCTTCTCAGCCACATACCCACATCGATGGTCTCACCGTACTCATCCACTCTCCTCTTCTTCTCCACATAAGGGAACATTCTGAACCTTTGACTCTGACCACCATCCTTCTTGAAGAAAGATGTAGCTTTCGAAACGTTGCCCTTCAAATATATATCGAAGGACAAATGCTTCGTGAAGCCCTCATCTGCGTCCAGAGCCCAGTCTGCATCTCCGCCTTGATTGAGTTTGCCCCTACCACCACTCCCGGGTTCAACGAGGCCATTTGTCAGGCCCTGTAGATCGCCGCCCGTGTCCATCTCATCGCCTAATGCTAACGCCACTTCATTCTCATCCTCTTCATCCGAGTCCTCGTCGTCGCTGTCATCTTCGTCGGCTTCTAGCAGCCGCTGAGTGCGTTGCATAGCTGCTTGCTGGGCCGCTTCCTTTTCCTGAATGGCACGTTGCTTTTGGAGGAACTCCTCTAGCTCAGATCCCTGGAGAGGGACTTTGGAATTCATCTGACAAAGTATGAAATCAGTAAGAATATAATAACAATAAAGCCGTAGAAATATGGATCCACCTTCAATTGCAGAACCCCGTCCATCATGATATTGCTTCCGATTTTACCTCTATCCCATTTATCATCCACGCGCTGTGCGTTGTTCCACATGTCGAAGAGGATGCGTCCAAGCGTGCCTTCCTCACTTCGACCAGTTAATAGCACAACATTATCAGGAATAGCAGCAAAATCAGAGAATATGACACGAGAAGGTCCATGAGACAGGGAGGCCGGAACTGCAAGGATCAGCTTCGGGTCCTTGGAGGAGTATGTTTGCATGAGATGTTGGGGGCTGGGGAATATCTCGAGATGTCTGTTTTACAACTGTTAGTATTGTCCAAATGACCGTTCTAGCCTCACGGCTTACTTAAACCGTAGGGCGAATGCTCCCAAAGCGTCATCGTCCCCATCTTCGTCGCCTCTTTTCCGTTTGTTCTGATGTTGGCTCTTGCTTGTACCATCCTCGCCAACATCTTCTCTATTCACAGTCCCACCTAGCCATTCCATCATACTCCGCACGAACGTCAGCATCTCGCGCCCAGTACGTGAAAGAAAGCAAATCGGGAACTTCAACCGCGAGTAGTTCCACGCTTGATCGAGGAGTACTAAGAGCTCCAACACGCGAGTAGAAGAGTCACATGGCATTAATACCGAATGCCGTGACGAGAGCGTGGTCGTGATCGTGTCTGTGAACAGGGATCAAAGCCAAAAGGAGAGGTGCATTGCATCAAGACGTACCGATTAGCGCGGCGTCACGATCTTTCCTGCGGCTACTGAGGACATTCGCTCGTTCAGCGTCGGTAATCAACAGATCAGGGCGCGCCAGGGGTTCAAAGACGCCACCAGCAGCTTGTCGCATTAGTACAGTCCCTTCGAGATGCCTTTCCTTCATGTGGTTCATGTCGACAGCGTAGAGGATGGTACCGGCAGAAGGAGATCGGATTTTCCATATCGTTCCTCCAAGAGAGTGACCAGCGTTGAATGGGGTGATAGTCAACCCCTGACATTTCCCTAGAAGTACTATTAGTTGGACGCAAGGATAAGTTCCAAATTACAGTAACCTTGCAAATGGCACGGTTGAGAATATCGAAGAACGTTGATAGAATCAAATGCCTCGTGCACTTCTTGAACCGAAGCAATATATTTCTTGCCATTCTTCTCTTTTAGAAGTTCGGAGTCGGCAGTCATGTCCATAGCGTTGTCTTCACCTTCCTGCTTGTCGAGATTGTCGCCGACATCCTCTTCATCCCGTACACCGTCCACATCTTCTGCAGCGGCGACGCGACCCATGGCCTGTACCGGTAACGTCGTATACGCAGGTGCTTTCAGACCCCATCTCGAGTACGCGTACGCGTAGAATCCTGAATGAGCAAGATCTCCATGTGACAGCAGGACTAGGTCGATGGAGGGTGCGCATCTGTAAAGGCGTCGATTTATGTATAGAATAGCAATTTAAATGATAATACGCACTCCTTTAGTGCGTCACAGTACTGCTCCCAATGGTATACTCGTTCGTCGATATCTTCCGTCTTGACCGCTGAAGACGATGCTTCCGGGCACCAGTCCGGTGAACCACAGTCCAGCAGTATGCGGACATCGTCGACTTGTAGCAGATATGCTAAAGGTACCGTTTTTGACGATCTGGCGGCGCCGGAGAGAGGTTTGAAGGTAATCATTGCAAAACCATTGGCAGGTCGTGCTGATACATATATATGAAGCCAGAGCCCGAATGCTTGAATTTCCCACGCTTCTCTGGCACTACTACTAGTAGTCTGTTGGGCGACTAAGAGACTTCTACTGGTGCTCGATGTGCTACACCTCAAAATATTTACACTATCGCTGTACAATGTATGCAAAACTTAGAGCTACAAGGGGTATCTGCGATCAGACGCCAACAAGTCTACTGAGCTCCCTTCTTGCGTTTCCGCTGTTCTACTAGTTCTTGCATTCTTTTCCGTTTGTCTGCGGTTGGCGATTGCAGATATGATGTCAACGGTGTGGCAGGGGCTTGGTTCGAACCAGAAGGAGGTGGAGTGGACGGTAAAGTTGCGGATGTTAATGGCTCAGGAGTACTCTCCAAAGCAGACATTGTGGATTCTAGCTCGGCATCTTTCGGATTTTCACTGAATGGAGGGTAAGCCAAATATCATCGCAGCACAAGCAAGACGCATACGTCGTTTCCGATCCCGCATCATCTATAAACCTGGCCTCGGCTTCCTCTTCGCTGGAGCTCACTTCTCGCCGAAGATCCATCTTTGCCCACTTCTTGGCGACCTCCATCAGTGCGTCCCACTGTTGTGAAGCTGTTCTGTATACGACTTCTATGCTCGATTTGTTGCATAGCTTTCGACATTGTGGACAATTGATGACCTCAGAACCCGGGGCGATTTGCGGGAGACACGTGTTGCAAACAAGATGTTCACATGGAAAGCTGTAGAACAGAAGTAAGAGACTATTCCAGCGAAGGTACAAGGAACAAATGTACCTAGAGGTTTCCTCTGGCTTCAGTTTTTCCATACATATAATGCACTCTTCATTTTCATCCAGCACTGTCTCCGACATCAAATCTTGAAATCTCCTCAGCAGCTGTCGTTGCTCCAGTAAGGTGGAGTGCAAGAGGCTACCGCGATGACGGACGGACCTTCCTCATGTGGTATGAAGAATCGTCTGCTGCATCCTCTGTGTCTTCATTCAATTCAGCAGCCTCACGCTTTGTCTCCTTCACTTCCAGCTAGAACCGTCCAGCTCGATGCCGTTGTTATTCAACTGTGGTTTGAACGACATACCTGTTCGACTCTTTTCCTAAGCTTGTCCTTCGCCTACTTTGTGGGTCGGGATCGAACAGCGAGTGAACGTTCGCTAAGCTACTCACACTTTTTAATGACCGTACTTCTCCCTTCAATTTGCGAATCTCTGCCTGAAGAGTTGCAGCACTTGGACCTCCTTTCTTCCCTCTCTTCGGCTGTATCGAGACATCCTGCGCCTCGACCAGCTTGTCTACCTCCGCTCTAAGCCCCTCGTTCTCCTTCTTCAGAGTGTCGCACCTTTGGTTCAGTCTTCGAAGACCCGTTCGAGCTTTGGATAGATACCGCTATAAGGCACAGCGTCAGGGAGCAGAAAAAGACCTTTCGATTCAACCGGATGACCTCAATGCCTTCAGCGCCCTCCAAATCCGAACCATCACCTTCCAGCTCTGAGCGATTCATTGAATTCTGCTGATCAGGAACCACATCAGCACGACGCCCGACGGAGTTCAACCGGCCGGATCGCGTTCTAGCCATGGTAACAGTTAGAGAGTCACCGACGCAATCACGGACTGGACGGAAAGGATGGGAAGATGTCAATACTATCTTATATTTTAAGTGCCCATATCATTTCGGTTCCCATCGATTAGTGGTTAGATCATGACGTTGTGGTTATTCATTGTAATGATTCCGTCAAGACGCGTGTTCGACTCACGCTGGGAACATTTTCGTTTTTTTTGTCTTCTGTCCTGATTTTCTACCTCCCAAGAAAACGATGGAGCACATTAGAGGCGATCTTGCGAACCCAGGGAAAAAAGAAACTTCGCCTAAAATCTCCCGTCACGCCAGAGCACGGAGGCTCTAACGAGCGCAATCGATCGCAGCAACATAGGAGCAGGTATGTGCAGAGCTTAGATATCGAATGCTTATCGATAGCCAGCAGACCCCTTAATAAGAAACTGTTCACCGGAACTTCGAAGTCCTTTGGTCGTTCCACGCTGCATGAACTTCCAACACCATGAATAGGCAGAAGCTGTACAATCACATGTGCATCTGAGTTGAACTTAAAGCTCAGTGCAATGCAAAGAGAGCTGTATCGCTTCTCCTCACCTACCATGCAGACTACGACAGTAAGACAGTTTTGCACAGAGAGTGATAGGCAAGCGATGGCCCACGAGGTGCTGCAAGGTATGCAGCGTGTCGTAACATTTCCTGGGAGTAGCCAGTATGGCCGCACCGGAGGCGGCACGTCTGCATGTGGATTAGCGGCGCTGAACTGCGCCCGGATTATTCTGGGGAAGTACAAGGAGGGACTTCAGGGAACACCGCTGCTTGAAACTGTAATGCGACGGGAAACCTTGCAGGTGAGTTCCAATCACCAGTCCCGACCACGAGCAACGAGTGTGTTTTATCATACACCTCTACCTCTGTCACGGTTGCTTAGATGAAGGGTTGTCGAAGATTCTCAACTTGAGAAATGACTCTCCGGTTCACAGAACATATTGGGAATATGCCAGTCGTGGTCCAACTCTTCTCATTTGGAAGTCGACGAGATATCTGCTGCACCTATATTCGCTATGACACTAAGACTAAAAGCACAGGAGTATTCAGCATCCAGTCTCAGAAACCTCTCAGGGTTGCTACAGTGAGTAACATAATCCATTGAGGGGAATATGAGACATTACCGTCTCTGTAGACGAGCAAAGCCTGCCGCCAATGAACCTCCTGCTGCAGTGGTCATCACCAGACCGCCTGAAATTATCGTGTGCATGATTATCCGTGTAGAAGAACAAGACGTTTTCATCACGTTCGACTCACATCCTCGGCCGAAACACCCCGATGGGGCTGCGTTCATATTCGACACGTCTTTACCCAGGACCGCGGAATACCTCATTCAGCTGCTCGGCTACGATCCCAAACTCCTGCGGGACAGGACTATGCAATGGGAGGCCCAGATGCTTGCACAGTTCTCTGGGCATGTCTTCGTTGCAAGGGATATACCGGACATCCCCGCAGACTGGATGAACTCCTTGATGGAAGCCAGCCTGTCGTCGCTGGCGCTGAAAGCGGAGGTGGCAAGTCTGCAGTCACGCAACGACTCGCTCACATCGGACAACGTCCGCCTCGACAGAGACGTTCAGAGACTGCAGACTGAGCTACAGACGCTGAGGCGGGAGCAAGAGCGGTTCCGTCGCTTCAGTGACCAGCGTCGTACCCAATCCAGCCGAGGGAACGAATTGAGTAAGGGCAAGGCACCTGAAACGCAAAGAAGTATAAACATCAGGGGATTCTTCCCTTACTTCAATGCATTGGTTGGTTCATCAGATGACCGTAAGGAAGACCTGCAGAAAGCTTCTGCAGAGCACGTCGAAGAGGTTCCCGACGATGCCGGAACCGTTTCGCCCAAAGAGGACGAGGACGAGGACCTTGACTACGTCATCCAGATGCAGCTCGAATACGACATGGAAGACATGCGTCTCCGCGGACAAATGGAAAAGCTAAAGGAGACTGCCCAACGTACCTTCGATTGCATGATCTGTTTGGAGACAATCCCGGAGGATTACATTGCACCACTCAACTCCTGCAAACATTTTATCTGTACTGGATGTCTGAGAACCTACGTGCATTCAAAACTGCAGGAAGGTCGATTCCCTATTTTTTGTCCAGTTTGTATGACGCAGAAAGACCCTGAGGGGGAAGGTGAGCGTCACAGAAATCCCGATGAATCCTGTCTTACATAGCGAAACAGTGATTAGCAACGTGCTGGCCCAACAGATTGGCCTGTCCGAGGAAGATTTTCAGACCTTTATAGAATTCGAATTGACGGCTTTCTCCATCCTGATGCATTGCCGAAAGTAAGACAGGAAATCAGCCAAAACGCATCATGTATTTGTTAACTCAGGCTTCCTAGGTGCAAACAGTCAGTCTTCGTCGACAGGACAGAGTACAACGAAACGGAAATCGTCACGTGCCCTTTACCTGGGTGTCAATATACGTGGTGCAAGCAATGCTCGCAAGAGGCAGCAGCCGTGGACGGTGTCAAGCACTCGTGCGATGGGTCGGCGGAACTTCAGAGCCTAATGCAGCAGCGTGGTTGGAAGAATTGTCCAGGTTAGCGACCTTGTTACATTATAGCACCCACTCGATCTGTTCTACTGACGCTATATCATCCAGGGTGCGACACGCCGACCGAGAAAACTGGTGGGTGCAATCACATGACCGTAAGTGCCATATCAAGTTCCTGACACCGTTCATTGTCCTGAATACTTGGCCGTCAGTGCCCTGCGCCAGGCTGCAACTCGTGAGTATCTTCTTTTCACTGAGGCGAGGACTAAGTTTCTAATCACCCACCAGGCATTTCTGTTATCGCTGTGGCAAGATGATTATTCAATCCGTCAAACATGGAGACGTGTCGAGTGCGATGGCAACACACTACAGTGCTTGTGTTCTGTTCCAGTACGACTGAGGCGACTGAGCGTGCCTTTACGAAGACTTGTAATTCCGTGTAAATCAATTTTGCGTAACCCAACCGAAAAGCATCCGCTGTGAGCAGTACCTTGCTCCGAATAGTAACAGTCAGCGACCACTATCTTCTGGCTGCGAGCTCTCATTTATGAGAAACAGCGAACATGCGTCAAGAATGGCGAATAATTAACAGTGCTACATCAATCATCTGGTAGCTCCGACAACTCACTACTGGAATCACTAGCTTCTCCCTCTTCCAGTTCTTCTCGCACTTTCCGCTTGCCCTTATTGACATCCTTCGGCTCCTCCGCCACCTCTCCCATCTCGATGTCATCTTCTGACGTCGGCATAGGCGACGGGGCATCAGAGCTAGACGCCATGGCTTTACTGAGCATCCTCTGCGCGGGAGTGACCAAGGGTGTCCCTGTTCGAGAGGGGGCAAACGACTTAGCTGCAGGGTTGAGAGGGGATTCTATAGATGATTCGACGTTTTCGCCTTCTTCTCTTTCAGGCTTCCCGGACATTTCGTCGTCCTGGGAGGTGGCGGTCTCTAACACAGATTCGTCCATAGTATCCGGCGTCGGAGATGCGGTTCTAGATGTATTCGGTTCCTTGCCCATAAGGCGCAGGGTGTTTATGTCGGAGATGACGGCTGCGAGGGAAGCTTTCTGGGCCTGCACTAGTCGCGTCTGCTTGTCGTGCTCCACCTGAATCTCCGCCATCTCGTCTTCAAGAGCCTGTATCGACCTGGGAAGGTTTGACGACATGGTCTAGAGATCTTGCACGAACGACACTTACTCCTCCAGCTGCTCGCGCGTCTGAAGTTTGTTGATCTTCTCTGCGATTTGGTCGTACTCGATCTTCTGTCGGCGCAGCATTTGTGCCTCTTCCAATGATGTCTTGAGTTGCTCAATCTGTCCCCGTAGGTTCTGGTGTTCGACCTCTGCAGGTGCCACTCATCGAACCATGCCCAGGACAGTATCATCGAACGCTCGCACCTATTCGTTGCTTTTCCTTCTGATACTCTTCAACCTGCCTTGCCTCGGCCTCACATATCATCATGCTCTTTTTCAGCGTCAAGTGGAAATTCGCGAGTTCCACGAGGAACGCCTCTCGTGCATCTTCAGCAGTGGCGGTGGTCGTAGCAGGTTTGCTTTCAAGATCAAGATGTGGATGCGCTACGGTGGTGTAGTTGTGAAACCTCTTGAGTAACCGTTTGAGCCCCCTCTCGTCAGTCGTTATTCTTGCGTGGATGATAGCATCTGCGATTCTCCATAGAGCTCTCGGTTCATTTATGACAATGAGAAATGGCCAAGGCACCTTCTTCATCCACGGTGAGCAGTGGTATTAACAGTGGTTGACTGGTGGCAGACGCCATAACGTCGACTCGATGCAAAAGTGGAGAGCTAGTGTTTGGAAGTCTACTAAACGAGACTTGCAAGGCGGAAAACACCTCGTGCCGACTCACACGCCACAATAGATTACTGTAATCCGAGTCCGGCCTTCAGAATAAACTTCATCATCGTAGCCAATTCTGTGATTGCTGGACCATGGTTTACAGGTCTAAGGACGGTTTCTTATCGCTAAACAGTGCGATACCGGGCTTTAGATCAGCTGGCGCCGAGGCTGTGTGGACATCCGCCGCAGAATCCTCATACTGTGCCGCAGCCTGGTTATGACTCGACTCGACTCTGCTTGACTCTGCAATGACCCTACAATCACTCTGCATGACCACATAGCCCTGCGGCGATAACGGTTCTGCGAGAGATGATAGGTGAACCTAGCTGCCGTGCGGGTCCGGACCTCGTTTCACCGCAGCTTCATCGCTTCTGTGAGCTGTGTTTGCGCAGTGCACTCACACACTATTAGCGTCTCTGGTGCTCGAGTAGAGTATATAAACCGTTTCTAGATCCTGATCTCAATACTCACCAGAAAGAGATCGTCTCATAACCCGCTAAACCGTCAGCCCTAACATCCACACTCGCAATGACGCACACATCCTCTAACATCCTCCATACCGCTCCGGCTTCTGCTCTACCCATGGGTACAGGCATTTCCAGCGCCAGTTCTAAGTCCAAAGCAGACTCTAAGTCTTCGGAAACGAAAACGGATGGCGCGTCCGCCAAAAGTTCGGGTGGCTTCAGCCTGTCCAAGATATTCAAGTCTTCGAAGAAGCCGGTCAACGACGGTACTTACTCCAAGCTCGCCGATACATCTTCCACTGCAGGCGGAGGCAAGGATTTTTCGCCGACTGATTCGA